ACCACACACTCCAAAAAGAGAACTACCGTAACAAACACACTATTTAAATAAATCAAACGCGTTCGTTTTTGACAAATAAAACTTTATTGTTGACCCCGTTCTTGGCTAAAAATCACCCTGGGCGTTTAACCGAGGATGTCCCCAACATGTAACTTTTGTGAAAACAGGGGGTGGGGGTGGGCGCTTGCCCAGGTGGGGCGCGTGCCCGGGGTAATACGGTAGAAAATAACACTAAACACTGAAATTAGAGCGCACTACAACATTACAACAAGAGTACTTGATACCACAGTCCCTGTATCCTAGAGTGACTGTGTTTATACTTAAAATCGCCGCGCTTGAAACTTAACTTTTCGGACTAGTCTATATTAAAGATTGGTGAATTCTGAGTGACATAAAAATCACAGACGCTGTCTATTTCAAATCACAATTCACCAAGAAAACAAGGTTAATTCGTTCTATTCGTCCCAAAGACGAGGGAGGTGTATAATTATTTTCAGACTTAAAATTTGACTCAACAGACTTTTCAATACGGACTGTTCATGTAATTTTACCAATATTGCACGCAACTTTACCACGTAGCATTAGAGGTGTTGCACATAACTTTTTTTACACAAGTTGGCAGGTTTCCCTTGTAACTTTGCCAACTTCACCTGTATCAGTATCTCTTCAGACGTTCAATGTCACTTAACCAACTTTTCACGCATCTGTGTAGCCTTGCCTCACCGCATCGCATGCAATTTTGCAAACTTTCCACACAAATTTGACAACATTGCATGCAACTTTTCAGGCTATCCAAATGTTATTTTATTTACAACATGTGACCTTTCATTAACGTGCAGCTACCAAAGCCAATTGGACTACAAAGAAGGCAGCAAATCAGCAGATTTAACTCTGCGAAATGCGCACTGCTAAGTGATATCAAAGCAATGGGCATAGTAGTTTTCAAGAAGTAGAAAATAACATTTTTCTAATGACCCGCCGTAGTACAGCATTTGCATGGGAGAATTGGTCACACTGTTAACCTACGAATGTAATCTGAAACACGATTGCATGGCGGTACCTTGAATGCTGCAAAACCGATTTTTGCAATGAGAGAGGTGCTCCATGGTAATCTACCAACAATATTGTGTTCTATTTGGCAGCATATTTGGCACCTTTTGCAGAAGTCTTGTCAAATGCGGAATTTAGTTCAAACAGTAGCGCCCTCTTCGGTACAATGTTATTAGTGTTGTTTTGAATTAAAGCAGCGCCTAATACATGGAAATTAAAGGGCGGCGGTC